TGCCTGAGGTGGCCCCGGGAGGCAGCGGGGTTTGGGAGGTGCTCGGAAACGGTCAGGTGCTGCGGGGAGACCGTCGCAGGGCCGGGGCACGCCGGGGGGTGTTGGGGACCTTGCTGGGCGGGAGGGCTCTGAGGGGGAGCCTGGGGAAGGGCCGGGGGAGGAGGAAGCGTGGCTGCGCGTTAGGGCGAGGGAAGGGGATTGACGGAGGGGGAAGGCAGCCTTGAAAACGCTGAAGTCATTTCTTGGCTGGAGAATCCAGAAAGGGTTGTGAAGTCTGGAGCATCGATGGTACGGTAGAGGAAGGCTGGTCAAAATGGTAAATGCTGGGTGGAAAACTTCACCACTGCGACAAATACTCTCTTGAATACAGCAGGAGCCTGCAAGGGAGCTAGCAGGCCTGTGTTATAAACGATATAAACCATCCTACCCAGACCGCGGTGGTAAAGCAGCTACAGGAGCTCTTCGCGTTTGTGAGGAAAGTGGGGAGGTTCCTACGTTGGATCCGTTTCTATGGGAGACGTGTCAGAGGATCTGTCCTGACTCGAGTGACAGCAGGGAGAGGTTAAAGGGTAGACAAACAGTAATAAGTTGCTAAAACTGGCTGGTATTTACTTAGAAACTCATGAGCGACTCAGGAATGTGGCAGCTTACCTACCCAGCCTTCCGTAAAACCACCTCAGCTGAGACCTTGGAGGAGGCATGCGTGATGCCGTTTCTTTTTTTAAAGGGTCCAGAAAGAAACAGAGCAACAGTTTGACTTCTGCGCCAGGCGAACCAGTAGAAACCACTTTAAATAATGTAGCTAGTCAGGAGGGTTGCACGGCTTTTGTTGAAAGTATTCCCTTTACCGGCTGCTCTACTGTGCGAGTCTTGGAATATGTTTGATAAGGATTGGGTATGGATGTGGTGGCTGGAAGTGGTACAATCTGTGTCATTTCCCAAGAGGTTCTCAACATGCAGAAGCATCAAAGAAATCCAGTATACGTAGAGTGAAAGGGAAGGTTCTTCGGTGGACAAGTAACTGACCAAAAAGAAGCGTGTGTGGTCATCTGCCACCCTGGCAGGTGGAGCTGTTCTGGGATCTTTATTCAATATGCTCAGGAGTGACGGGGGGGAAAAGAAGGTGGGTGATCACCTGAAATTTGCTGGTGACACTGACCGAGTCCTGCAGCAGGTGAGGCCTGTGGAGACTTGCAGGAGCACAGCTGGGTCTATCGCCCTGCCATGGCCCGGTCACGATTGCTGTATGACGGTCAGCTGAAGTCCAGAGTAGATACCTGATGTCCATGAGGAAGATCCGCTTTAACTTTGCATCATTTTGTAGATAGAATGGCTGTGCTCTGAGCTGACTGGTGATGCTCTTGAGCAAGATAAGTGGGTCATATAACACGTTTTTATGAAAATACCAGCTTAGCACTTAGTAGCAGCTCATAGACGGCAAAAAGTGTTTGAAATACCTAGAAAAGAAATAGAGGATAAAAAGGGGAGTATCTGTTTGTTGTTACAATCTGTGCAACTTATGCTTGGAATTTGGCTGTTGCGTGCGGTCTGTGTCATTTTTGAGATGGGGAAGGAATCTCACAGAATGAACTGAAAAGGTTTAAAAAAGGCAACAAGGATTAAAGGAAAAAAAAGCCCAGCAGAGGGATCAGCTGTGCGGGACTCTGCTTTGGAACGGTGGTGACTGAGGGGAAATAAAAACTGCCAGTGTCAAGGGGAAGGTCCTTGTATAAAGTGGAGGGAAGTCCCCACCATTTCAGATACCCTTCTAAAGAAGGCACAACCCGGCTTTATTTGGGCAGAAATTACCTAATTTGTTAATTTTGGGGTGGTCCTTCATTCTCTAAGACAATAGAGCATGAAGGCTCCATAGAAGCTGGCACCTGCCTGTGCTTTTTCACTCCTTGAACCCCTTTGAAAGGGGTCGAGGCCCTGCAGTCCATTCTGCCGGTGCTTTGCGCTGGTTACATGAGTCGCTTTCTCTCCGTTGCCGACATCTTCTGGGTGCCAGACTTGGGGCTCCAGTTTGGGAGCCGAACAGCCCACTGCAGTGACAGTGGGCATCCTGTGGATTTAACCAGCATGGTGTGCTCTGCAGTTCTCTTAAGAATAAACAAATAAAAATACTTTTTTTTTTGAGTGCACCCAAACTGTGTTGTTGGCAGCGTGTGTTTGTGTGCATCTCTTCACTCCTAAGTCTTGCAGGTTTTTCTGTAGCTTTTATCATGTCCCAGAATATCTCACCAGTCTGTACAAAGCATTTAATTTGCAGTGACTGTCAGTGGTTTACCAAGTTAAATGCAATTAGTGACTTTTCAGGAAAAGATTAATCTTAAACCTGGTGAGTAAGAACCAGAATGTTGAAGTCTTCTGTAAGTGGAACCTGTTAAGTTCAGCCATTTAAAGCTTGCTGCCTTTTTTTTTTTTTTTTCTCTCCCAGGGTCGATAAAGATAGGAGTGGAATAATATCTGATCATGAACTTCAGCAGGCATTATCCAACGGTAAGTCTGTAAATGAGCAGTGAGGTAGTTCGTCGTGAAATTAACGTTGAATTTCATGTGAGACTGGTGACTCGATGCCATAATTCTTTGACTGGGGCGGTGGGATGTTCCTACCACTGATTGATGCCATTTAATCTACAGGAAAAGGCTGAAGGGGAGGAAAAAAGTGAACAATCTTCCTGGGTTTATTTTATTGATTTTTTTTAAATTTTTTTTTTTTTTTTTTTTTTGCTGAGCCCATTGTTCCTCATTTTCTTTTATTTCAAGGGGAGTTTTCTGGGTTTGGTGCATGTTAGCAATCATGCATTACAAAGCCAGTACCTACTGTAAACATTACTGATTGTATTCTGCGGAATGAAGGCAGGGACATCCCTTTATTTTTTCCAGCTCTGCTTCCCAGAAAACATAAATGGTGTTTTATATATTCCTTGCTTATCACTACTGAACCTTGGTTTTGTAACCAGGATCAGTGTATAACCTGGACAAAGATCAGATGTTTACATCCGGCCTTTTTACTGCATTTGAAATCTTTTCATACAGTACGGTGCAGGAATTGAAGATGGTAATTTTTATTATTATTTTTTTTTCCCCAGTGAGGCATGTTTGGGGGTTTTTCCCTAACAAAGTAGAAAGGTGCACTCTAGATCTAGTATTAAAACTTGGTGGTAGTCTGTCAGTTCCCTGTCATAACACTCAAAGGGTGTGGTCAAGTAACTCATGGAAGCAAATTTAAAAATGAAAAATTTTTCCAGTAGCCTATTTTTATTTTCCTCTGGTGTCTCAGGCTGGGTAGGGCTGTATTTGTGGGGGTTTTTTTTTCCACTTAGAAACCTGAAAAAGTGCATATTGAAGCTGTTTGTGCACCTTTGAGTCCCTATCACGTTCCCTTTCTCCCAAGGTTTAATTCCCTCACCCTTCCTGTGCTTTGGGACTGAGAAGGGCTTAAACTGACATTGTGAGCTGCAGCGTATGCAGACTGAAAGGCTCCTTTTTGTCAGTAACTGCCCAACTTGAAATAAATTTGGATGGCTCTATTTAGTAAAATTGTGGTCTTGGAACTAAACTAGATTTACTAGAATGTTTGCTCGATAATATATCTGATAAATTAAAATGAATATAATGTAGCTGCTGTGCCTGATCCATAACTAAAATACTGGTTTGGATAACAGCTTCAGCAAAAGCGAGGTTAAATTGATTAAGTCACTGTTTTCCTTTAAGATGACAGTGCTGTTTAGAACGATGTGGGAACCTGGCTTTACCTGCTGTTTTAAACTTCGTATATTTTAAATATCTTCCCATCTGGTTGAATTTAGGGGTGACAGGCAGCGGTGACTATCTGAACTCTTTTCTTTCCTTATTTACAGTGTAGATTAGCACTTTCAGTGCTTTGCAGTAAGGAAGAATCCCCACCAAGGGAATTCAGTTAGACAAGATGTTTACAGAACTGTGAGCTTCCTCTGGTCCAAGAGATTCTGCGTCCTGCACACCAAAGGCACTAACAGTGCACTATATTCTTTTCAAAACATATCCTCCAGTGGATGGTCGTGTGTAGCTGTCCTGCAATCTAACGCTGGCTAAAAGAATGTGTTTATTTCTAAAACATTTAAAAAATCTGCACAGTGCTCCCTAAAACTTGAAGTTTGTGACATTCAGCTTTTCAACAGGTCAGGTGTGTGCAGACAGCGGTACTTCCCTGGGAGGGACGGATCATCACTCCGTGCAGTTGTTTGCACAATAAAATCCTCTGCTTCCTTCTTGTTTTCTTTCCCGTGCTGCCTTGTAAAGTTGACAGTAAAGTCAGGGGAGGAGAACAGTCTTTTACTGTGGATTGGAACAGGCTGAAATGGGTACAGTTCTTTGGCAGTGAAGTCGCTCTGGTTTCACTATATAGTGTCTGTATGAGTCTCTTGAAAATTTCAACGTGAATTAAGTTACATTCCAAACTGTGTTTTCCCTTTTTCTTCTAATCTATTCAGAGTTAAATGCTGGCACCCTACTAATAATTCCATTATTTTTTATTTTTGTCAGGAGACACACAACTCTAAGGTACTGATGTTCTCTGTCTAAAATACTGCTTAAGCGTTTTCCGAGCGATTCTTACTCTTTCCTGCTTAACATTTCCCCTCATGTGCAAGTAGTCCCGTGGCCTGCCTGCAGGGCAGGGCTTTTCCCCCTGGCTGCACCTGTAGACTCAGTTTCCCTTCGAGGGGAGAAATTCAGCGCTGGGATAAGCACTACTGACACCCCTGTGGCCGTGCCCTCACAAAGCCTGCTTCATTCCAGCGTGGCCTTCCTCGTAGGTGTTTGTGGGCAGCTGGCTGCATCGTTGCAAATGCCTCTGCAGCACCCCCAGTCTTAACCGGTTCCCTACTGGTCCCTGCGCTCGATCTCGGTGAATTTTATCCACGCTTCTTGGTCCTGCTGGTACCTTCACAGGCTCGAGAGAATTGGTGGTGACGTTCTAGATGAGGCACGGTGTTGCTTTTAATTTAAAGCTGGATGCTTCCTAGCGCTCTGGAATGCTCCCAACCAAACGAAAACTATTCCAGAGGGACCAGCCTCTAAGTACTCACAGAAGTACAAAGCTCCTCTTGAGGTGGTTACTGCTCAGGCCCTTTCAAGCAGCAACATTTCTTGGTCTGAAAATACTAATTTAAATGAACACTTCATTGATTTAGCAGTGGAGGTGGGAGTTACAGAGCCCTGGAACAGGCTGCCCAGGGAGGCTGTGGAGTCTCCTTCTCTGGGAATATTCAAAATCTATATGCCTGGATGTGATCCTGTGTGACCTGCTGTAGGTGACCCTGCTTTAGCAGGGCGGGTTGGACCAGGTGATCTCCAGAGGTCCCTTCCAACCCCCATCGCTCTGTGATTCTGTGATTATACAAAACTCCACACTAAATTGCACCGTGTGGTTATGCCATGTTAGGAACCTTTCCTTTTCGCATGTCGGAAACTAAATGCCCTGGAGCAATCCTCCTGTAAAACAGGAAATAAGCAGGTGGGTTTTTACTGAGGAAGAGATGTGAGACCTTGCTTGAGATTTAAGGTATAACTCTTCTGCTCCCATGAACAGAAAAAGTGGGACTTTAGTTTTGAGCTTGCCTTTTATCCAGTACCTCCTGACTACCTGCCGTGACAAATATCCTTCTTAATTGTTCCAAGTTTTGGGGGGTTTTTTTGTGCAGCCTGAAAGATGTTGGTCTCCGTGTAGTACCTGTAACGTGCTGCTCTGAAGTCCTCTCTGAACGGTCAGGAACGTAATTGCTTCAGCCTTGGTTTATAATACGGTAGCTCCATGTCGTCCAGCTCTGAATTCACTGGTTTAAGTTCTTACCTGATTTTTTTGGTTGGCTTGTTGGTTGGTTGCATCTTTTTTTAAATGTCACTTAGTATCAAGGAACTAAGTAATCCTTTCTGTTTCAGGCACGTGGACGCCGTTTAATCCAGCAACAGTCAGGTCCATTCTTGGTGAGTGCAGCTGCGTGATGTGAAACAGTCAAGAGACTGGTTTGTGATCTGTTCAGGGGATTGAGAACGCTGCCAGTTGCCGCGCTGTTGTAGGGAGATCCATATGGACAGCCGTTACAACACACGTACGATACGTGTTTCTCCTGCAATAACGAATGCCTGGTGAAGGGGCTTTTGAACTACTTTGGCTGTAGCGTTAACAAGCTGGTCCTTCACTGGTAGACGGCATGTTTCAGTGTCTCTACTCTTTTATTTTTTTCCCCAGACAGCCCAGCAGTGATATGTTAAACACAAATATCCTTCTCTTCGAATCACACAGGAACGCCCTTTGTGTGCCCACACATGTACTTGTCAAAGCAGCCTGAGAAAATGTTGCTGTACGACTGAATAGATCCTAAATGTAATTGATGTGTGGGGAAATCGTCAGCTTAGATAATCTAAAAAGATACTAATATAGTTTGTCTTCGTGACTAGTGTTCCCTGTCTTGCATTTTAATCCTACGTTCTGCTCCAAAAAAGACCAAACACTGGGAAGACTTCTTTACTCCTACAATAATTGCCAGTAATGTGGAAGATGATGGTGGTAGAACAAGGATGAAAGTGCAAGCGCACGGTTCATAAATCCAAGGGCTGAATGTCTGGCTTTGTTTTCAACAACCATTCGGCAGCAGTCTGAGTTCCCTCGCCGTGCGGCGCGCCGTTTGTGCGAGGACAGTGCCAGCAGGTCAAGGGCAGATGAACATCCCAGCGCTTCTGGCAGTCAGTAGATGTTGTAGACTGTTCACGAGTCCTTAGAAAAGAACCATCTCCCCCCTCTCTTTTTGGCACTGGATGATCAGTCAAGCCCTAAACACTTTCAAACTGGCAATTAAACCAGGAAAAACCCATGTTCTGTGATTCATTCTGGTCCTCTTTTATCTTGCTTTACCTTACCCTCCTTCAGTGGACAGCCACTTGCTTTTTTTTTTGGCAGTACCTTCCAAAATATCACTTGTATTTTTGCAGTTTCTTTCCTGTTTGCAGTACTTTCCACAAAGCGCTCTCGCTTCCTCTGTAAACTCCTGGCAGATCTTCCCGAGGAGCGGTACGGTTGAGGTGGTGGTTGCGTTTCTTGGTTCTTCTTTCAGGCATGTTTGACAGAGAAAACAAAGGTGGGGTCAACTTCAATGAATTCACCGGAGTCTGGAAGTACATCTCGGACTGGCAGAATGTCTTTCGAACGTATGACAGAGACAATTCTGGACTGATTGACAAAAATGAACTAAAGCAAGCACTAACAGGTTTTGGTAATTCATTCGTAATTACAGTTTTTCTGGTTGGGTTACGTCATCAGATGAGCTGCTTGCCCGTAGGGCTGTCCTGCTCTGGCAGCCGTGGTCACAGTGAGGCGGGTGAGGCGCCGTTACCCTTGTAGGTATCAAGGCGCTCGGGGCAGCTCGCTGCCAGCTCTCCGCCCTGCAGCAGCGTTCTGATGGCGGGAGGAACTTGAATTGCATTGACTGCACTCACAAAACCTTGCGATGCAGCCCGTAACCATTCCCTCAACCAGCTAATTCAGTCAGTAATTACATTTACTGTGACTCTGTCTATAATTATTATTAAGCACGGGTTTCACCGCATGCATTTTAGTGTAACACAGCGATATTTGGCCAAAAAAAATATTGTCTTTTGTAACTGCTTACTGTGTTGTGGGTTTGTTACCCATGGCTGCTGAACAGCCTCCGTCTTGCTGGAGAAGGACTGCGGTAATTGAAACCTCTTAAAGCATTTCTCTTTTTTCCAAGGTTACCGACTGTCTGATCAATTCTATGATATCCTTATTCGGAAATTTGACAGACAAGGAAGAGGACAAGTTGCTTTCGATGACTTTATTCAGTGCTGTGTTGTTTTACAGGTAAGGATGGAGAGGTACTTTGGTGCCAATTGAAAAATCACCTTGAACTGTGATGGTTCTCAATTTAACTATAATATTGGATCTAGAACTTGCTTATAAATAAACCATTGAAGTATATGAGAGGTGCTAGAAACATCTTAATTTATTGGTCTTCGCTTGTTGTCCATTTGCATCACCAATAAATTTGATACAATTTTTTTTGACCCGTTAAAAACTTTCACGGGGCAAAAAAATGTAAAATACTCTCAGTGTTTTAACAGGAAAACCCTTAACGCTGTTTCCATTAGTTTAATACCCACACTTTGGATCCTGAGTGTGGTAAAACTGGAGTGTGTCATGTCCCTGGTGCCCATAATTCTCGTAATCCGAGTTGTGAGGGTGTTGTGTATCTCTCTGTTTAAGGCTCTGACTAAAGGAGTTTGGCCTAACAGCCCCTGACTCGCTCTTTCATCACTGCTGCTCCTGCAGGGGCAATGGTAGGGAAGGACATTTCAAACACACACCAAAACCACCTTTCAGTAACAGAATGGCACGTGTGGGGAGAGAGGCAGAGAGAGAGCACGCTGTATTTTCAGAGGTGTATTCGTTCAGAAATCAGTCACTGGCTGATTCCTCACCTCATTGCCTAAGGTTTCTCTAAATGTATCTGACTTTTCCGAAATATATGTAAGACTGGGGAAAAGTTGGGGAACTGGAGCAGTGGACAAGCCGAGTTTTAGTAGGATAGGAGAAAGGTTGCTGCTTTTGCACTGGAACAGTATCTTAAGAGATCTTCTGATATGCAACATGGAGAGAAAGCAGGGCCCTGGGAAGGCGGTATCTGTTACGTGCATACAGGTGTTTTGGTCTCCTTTGGGCTTTATGTCTAGAACCACAGGTCTGCTGAAACATCAGTCGCCTTTATATTCAGCTGTAATACAAGTTAGAAAGTTAAACCCTGGTGCAGAGGGCTTTGAAAGGGCGTGTCGTTCACCTGGCGTTAGCGAAACCGTGCCAGGGGTTCTTTTGGTCCCCCGGCCGTACTGCCTGCAGCTCAGACAGCGATGGCGCGTGACGCACGTTGGGCTAGAAGCTGAGGAATGGACAAGGTCCTCGTTGGATCCTGTTTCCAACTGACTCTCAAATGCCCCACGAGGCTTGTGCGTTGGGTTTTCCCCCCCGTTAAAGCCGGCTACAACAAGCTGGTCTGGAACGCAGCGCCCGGAGAGAGCCTTCGGGGCTGTCCCGGAGGGCGGGCGCAGCCAGGCTGGGCCGCGCGTACCGAGGGGATGAACAGCGAGCGTTCGTAAAGCCACAGCGGCAGGGGGGCACACGGCCCTCTGAACTGCCCCCCTGTACAAAAATGTGTGGGTTTTCCCCTCCTTTTCAGAGGCTGACTGATGTCTTCCGACGATACGATACGGATCAGGACGGCTGGATTCAGGTGTCCTACGAGCAGTATCTTTCCATGGTCTTCAGCATCGTATGACGCTGATCCGTGGGAACTGCACGCTGGCACTACAGCCTGGAGCTGCCAAATCCCCCTGTGCTGAAAAAGATCGTTGATGTATTATAATGGATGTAACTTCACATTCTTAAATTTTGTGTGTTGGCCATCACCTTCAGAATCTGTACTTCACTGGGTTTTTATTTGGTAGTAGTGTACGGTACGACCATCTCCGCTGACTGTAGTACAGAGAGCACAGACCCTAGATGGAACTGGTGCAATGTCAAACTTAACCTTCTTCCACATATCCTGCATGGGGAAAAATGACTCTTTAGAAATGCCAAATTAATATAATGCTTGTTAGTTTATGAGAGAGCTCAAAGTCAGAAGTTGCACAACATGTTTTGCATGTGCCTTACTTTTATAAGAGTTTAATGTATTAATTTTTAATACAGAATTTAAGATGGAAGTAAAAATATTAGATCAACTTTTATAGTCTACTTCACTTGTGTACAGCTTTTTTTTTTTTTTAAGAGGGTGGTGGTTTTATTTCTGCATTCTAGTTTTCTGCGGTTCAGGGGTCCCTCCCACTTCAACAGCGATGGCATTTCCCCTGGCCTCATCTTTGTATTTTCTAGCTGCCACCTCGTTCCAGGGTATCCCTGGGACACCTGCAAATACAGCTCCTTCACACCCGGGTCCAATCCTGCAGCTTCTCGGTGAGTTCCTACAACAAGAAGCCACATCGACCTTCTCGGGAGCCGGAGGGCGCTCATTTAACACCAAGAGTCTTCCTTTTGCTGCAGAAGCCTGTACTTGAAGTGGCCTTGAACTGAAGAGTCAGAGGTTCCCATCACCTTACCATCCACCTCACCAATTACGGTTCTTGAGGGACACAGTGGAAAAACCGAAGCAGAGAAGTGATGACCGACTCCTGTCCCGCACCCTCTCCTGCGGTAACTTTGGAGAAGCCACCTGGAGGAAGAACAAGTTCTCTTCGATTGCTTTAAGAAAAATCTTACCCCAGCACTACCCAAAGGCCTTGGAAACACTCGAGCAGCCAGTATTACTTACCTGTAACTGCTGCTCTCCAGGGTCTGGTTATGGGCCAGAGCTTTTAGCTTTTCTCCAAAGACTTCAAATTCTTAAACTGCCGCAGTACTGATTTGTTCCCAGCTCCCTGGGGGCAGGCAGTCCCCACGCGCCCTTTGGCTTCCAGCGGTTTAATTCTGTACGGCCGCGGGTGGGGGAGCTGTGGCTGCTGGGGGCGCCTGTACCTGCGCTGATGCCGGCAGTGACACCAATTTTACTACGCACAGGGGGGGTGGGGGGGTGGGTCTGGACAGAAAGACATCCTACCTAAAAAAATAAATCGATGTTTCAACGTTATTCCCAAGTGTCTCGGCCAGGTCTGGCATCAGGGTGAAGACACCCAAGTGGCAACTGTGCAGTTACCAGCCAGCTGGGGTGCAGAGAAGCTGCTGCTCGTTGTCAGGTGATAAACAGCCCCTCAGTGACAGGTCAGCAACCGTTTCTAAACACTTTTCTCAGCAGTCGTGTTTGTAGGGTGAGCTGCTGGCTAGGGAGAAAGAAGGGAAGCAGGCAGGTCGAGCCTCGGGGTGGCTCCTGTAAAACAGTCCGAGTGGCAAATACCTGCGGAGGAAAGGGAAGGTGTCACAGAAGCCCTCCAAAGGAGGGAAGGCGAATCTTAGGGCATCGAGTTATAGGCTCTATGATGAACTGCTTTGTTGCCTTTTGGTTAAAATTGACATGACGAGAATCAAAAAGTTATTGTAGTGAACGCAAGACGGTATGGCAGCTCTTGAAGGCTAACCCTGGTTTAGCTCAAGTATTTAATGCACAGAGACAGAGGAACATTTCGGGTATGGGCGAGAAGGAAAAGGACAGTCCACCACACAGCAGCGAAAAGGAAAATGGGCACTGGGGAGTAAATGGGCTGACTTCTTTTCTCCACGTAAGCTGGATTCGATTATAGACAGCAGATACCTAAAGCCAGGCATCCATGAGCACGTGGCTCAAAGTCTGGGAAAAGGGAATGTTAAGTACAGACCACAGATAAACCTCACGCATGGGTAAGCGTTTCTCCGTTAGGAGGTTATTTTGATTATTTTCCCCCATTATTTTACCCGATTGCCTTACAGGTTCTACTATTTCTTACTACGCTTTTGCCAGTAGAGAGAATCAAGAATTTTTATTTTAGCAGGGAACGATCCATCAAATGATTGTAAGTTGATCTGTCACCATTTCATTCCGAACAACATGATAAAAAAATCTGCATATATTTCACGTCTCTTTTTTTACTCTGCAAAAATGAAAGCAAGTCATACGCCCCGTTACATACCAGTCCCCTCGAATAGCTTACATTTTCCTCATATAGCATCATGTTAAGACAGAGAATACTTTCGCTGGGACATTCTCCTTTCTTTGTCTAACAGAAATGTAGTGTATCAATTTCTAAAAATCTGCTCATTATAAAGCCTCAAATTAGCTGAACTGGCCTTACATTTGCATGAAGCAAAGTCAATGTATTTTCATGCAAGGGGCCTGTATTTTCAGTGGATATTCTTCCTAAGTAGGTAACGTAAAAGCAAACCTTTCTTTTTTTTCTGAGTTGGGAAGGGTGTTATAAGGGTTATTAGCTTTTTGCTGACAGAATAACATTAACATATTTTCAAAAAATAACACATGATCTTTTCTGTAATATACTAAGATATAACAAATAGGTTAAAAAAGGCTAAACAAAATAGTATGTTCACCTCCATTATGTGCAAGTTTGTGTTCCAGCTATATTTCACATGTTAAAAAAGTAAACCCTACCTCCCTTTCCCCTTCCAAAACCAGTCAAACACAGAATTAAATGCAGTCTCTTTCCTGAAAGCCAAGAGATGGAGAGTCTCAAATCTGTTCATCTGTCTCCAGTTCAGCTGTTGTTGCGCCTTAATCTTGTCCTCTAGTTTCTACCAGCACATTGACTACTGTCTGAACGTTTAGGTCTGGAGAGGGGAGGTAAAAACGTTTACGGTTACTTCTCTTTCATGTTATTTCACATAATACAGCAGAGATAATGTTAAAATGAAAGTTTTACTATTAACTAGTGACCTAGTTAATTAATTAATTAACTCTTTGTCACGAGGCGAAGTCTCCTCAGAGAGGCAATTAACGCCGTTCTTCAACTGAGCCAGATGTTGAGCAAAATGAACTCGGCTCCTCTGAACGGAGCGCGCTACCTCAGCGACACGCAATCTCCTGCTCCTGTTAAAGCACCTCTGTTGGTGTGTAACTCATTTCACGTGAGAACTGATCACAATCTTACTCTGAAGGGCTGGATGATACGGAGCCAACTGTTTGAGCGTCCTGGTCACTGTAGGTATATCCTTTCCTCGCAGTCTGTTCAGAACGTTGGGAGTAAGACCAACAGCATCTTCATCAAACACCGTATCTGAGCTTCTGAATTGCTGGTAATCTCTGTAGGAACCACTGCCAGAAAATGAGTGCTGGTGTGAACTCCAACCACTCTTGTAGCCTGACTTCTGATGCCTGAATCCCTGACACCTGGATTCCTGGATCCAGCCAGAGTCCTCGTTCCAGCTAGACTCCTGGTTCCACCTAGAGTCCTCGTCCCACCTAGAGTCCTCGTCCCACTTAAAGCCACCTCTTCCTGAAACAGCAGAACTTGCAGATGTATGAGTACTCACAGACTCGTCGTTCTTGTAAGAGGAATAGCTTTGCGAAGGATAGTTTGTGGAGTATCTTCCAGACGAAGGATACGAGGCAGAAGAACTGGGATAGGGTAATCCTTGATCACTTATACTCCTTGCTTTTGTACCTGCTTGTCGATTCCTCCAATTGGTACTTTCCCCGCCGTATGAGAGCCTGTTACCAGGGAGCTTACTTCCTCGCACGTCGTTGGACACATATTCTGCTGAGTACTCGCTCGCTGGACTTGCCTCATAGGAAGAGGCCCCACCAGCTGAATTCCTGCCAGAAGCAGATCGGCTGAACTGTCTCAGCCATTCACTGATCCCACTGGCAGGACTTCCAGTCTGAAGAGCGAACGAGTCCCTGAGCGCAGACATCGTGGCGAAGTCATTAGATCGCAGCCTGTAGGAAGAGGATCCATCGTCTGTTTGGTACGATCTGTAGGAGTTAGCAGGAGCAAAAGGAGCATCTGCAGAACACTCTTCATACTGAGGCAAAAAACCTTGATTCCAGTTAGAATTTCCTGAATAAATAAAGAGCACTACAAGTTAGCAAAATATTAAAGTATCAACTGAAAACACAACTACTTTGAGGTTTTATGAAGTGTTCTTCTCCTGTTCTTTTCCCATTTCCTGCCTTTACGTCTTACCTGAGTCCGGCATCTTTTCACCCAAAACTCTGCATGTTAAATAGGTGAGGAGAGGTTACAGCTTGGATTTCCAACAACCTTTACTGCTGGAACACCGTTCAGCGGGGCAGAAGTGCTCTTAGATGGTCAAGGTTGAAGGCATTAAGGCTTCAGAAACTGATACCCTGAACTGACTCAGAGGGCAAAGACACTCAGTGCTCTAGCAAAGGAGCACGAGGGCTGGCCATAAAAGTACATTTTCACAATCTGTGCAGCGTTAAGAATAGACTTAAACTAGTAGGACGAAATATCTAAATTACCTTTGGCTTTTCCATATGGCTTATAGTGTTTTGGGATGCTTTTCCCTCCTGGAAATTCATCTTGAGATATTGACATCAGTGGCCTCAGGCTGTTAGTATAATGAACCTGGGTAAAGCAAAAGGTCAGAATGTCTGGTTTGAAACTCTACTCTTGAGCATTCCAAAAAAAAACCCCAGCAAGTTCCCCACAGAGAGTTTGCAGAGTACCGTTTCAGGTGACAGCGAACTCCACACAATCACAGGATGGTAGGGGTTGGAAGGATGTGGTGGTGTGTGGCTCACAAACACCACGTTAAACCACAATTTTCACAAGCACTATCTGGAAGAGGCACGTGTCTGGAGAACAGAATGCGGTGTCTGGGGAAGCCAAGGTCGCCCGTTTCGAATTTCTTTATTGCCCCATATCCCTCCACATCCCCTGGCTAAGATCCGGAACTGGTACGTATGCAAATCCCGTCTCCTGCGGGGGGACGCAGGATGGAAGGCTCGGCTACGGCAGCAATGTTTAACTGGCTCGTGAGAACGGCACTGTACTCAAATACATGCCATTTTCGAAAGCGCAGCTCTCAAACAGGCGGCGGTGGCATTTGCACAAAGGCAGTTGCCATAGCTCAGCTGACACGGACTATGTTATCAAACCTTTTA